CTTGTGACTTTTTGTAGGAACAAGATTTAGACGTTAAACTCCATATGTAAAATTTAACGATCAACATTCAATATCAAAGAAAACATATCAACAGAAAAAAAATATATTATAATTTTTCTAAAGACCGTCTTAATTTTAAAAAAACAACATCAACATGGTACTGCAAATAAATAAATAAGAAACACACATTAAGCTTACAAAAGGAAAAATTATAAAACTATCAAAGTTTTGCAATTATTAATTTAGAGACTTATGTTGTCTTTTATATTAAACTCGTGATACGTAATTTTATTCTTAGGAGTTAATGGGAAATGTTTGATCAATTTGCTAAGCTTACGTTGTCACGTCCTTAGTTGTTAACTAAGTACACGTGCGGCACTTGATAACTTGCTCACGTTCTTGCTATGCCAAGTCACTCTTACTACACTCAAGATCGCTAAGAGCATGGTAGAAAGAACACAAGAGAATTGTTAAAGGAAGCTTTGTATTTGAGAGAACTTGAATTGTTTGCTTGATGAATTACAAATGAATGGCCCCCTTTATATACTAGTCTCCTAGGGGCTAGTGTGTAAATATTAATTGTTACACAAGTCCCTTATTATTTACAAGATAAGGGCTTTCTCTAGAATTCTCTACAAGCCTAGAAGATTCCAAGGACTTTCCTAGCAAATCCATAAGGATCTAGGGTCTTCCTAAGGAAATATCCATACTTCTCTAGAATCTTCTCACAAATGCTAGCCTTACTCTTATGTAAGCTTCCATGGCATTAATATACGCCAAAATGGCGCATGTGTGGCATGATGATGTGGCGGGTCATCACACTCTCCCCCACCTAATATTGCGACGACTGCAGCGCAATGCTGCTGCATAAACTCTTGGATCTTATCTTTGAATTGCCACAAGTCTTCATATCGTTCCCACGTGGCCTCCTCTGGTGATTGCCCTTTCCAATGGACGAGGAACATAGCGGTGGCTTTTTGCCCTTGTTTTCGTCTGGTCTGGTAATCCATAATAGCCTCAATCTCCCGATCATGCGAGGCAGTGATAGTAATAGGCGCTCGACTTGATTGGCCCCTACTCGGATCATCCTTGTCTTCATGATATTGCTTAAGCATGCTGGCATGGAAGACAGGGAAGATCTTGGCAAGTCAAGCTTGTATGAGATCTTGCCTACCTTGGCGACGATCTTAAATGGCCCCTCATACTTGCGAATCAGATTCTGATGCATGCTCGGTAGTGCCTTGAACTTTCTTGGGTTAAACTTCACCATGGCCATGCCCCCAACTCTATAGTCTGTGGGACGGCGCTTACGGTCCACAAACTTCTTCATCTTCTTAGCTGCCCTATCCAAGGAGGACTTAGCAGTGTCAAGCTGCTCCTCCCATCCTTTGGCCATATGATAAGCCCCCAAACTCTTTCCCTCGGATGCAGCTGATAATGAATGTGGAGTTTGTGGTTGTTGGCCTATGGCTAGCTCAAATGGTGTCCGCCCCGTGGACTCAATTCGCTGCAAGTTATAAGAGAATTAGGCAATGTCTCAGAGCCTTGCCCAATCTTTCTGATGCACGCTTACATAATGCCTCAAGTATCATTCTAGTAAGGCATTGACCCGTTCCGTTTGTCCATCTATCTGTGGGTGGAAACTAGTAGAAAAGTGCAGTTCCATGAAAAGTATGTCGAACAACTCTCTCCAAAAGTTCCCAGTGAAGCGGGGGTCTCGATCACTGATGATATGCCTTGGTAAGCCCCAATACTTTACCACATTCTTAAAGAATAGCTTGGTGGCTTCCTTAGCTGTGCAACCCGGTGAGGCGAGCATGAAGGTGGCATATTTGGAAGATCTATCCACGACCACCATAATAGTACCATAACCATCGAACTTCGGTAGATAAGTGATAAAGTCTATAGTAACGCTCTCCCATGGACGCTCTGCCACTGGCAGTGGCTCCAAAAGTCCTCCGGGCTGTTGTTGATCAACTTTGTCTTGTTGACGGACAAGACAAGTTTGCACATAGCACTCGATGTCATCTCAGATGCGTGGCCAATAGTAGGCTGACTCAACCAAGGCACTAGTGAGACGTTGACCTGGATGACCAGCCCACATTGTGTCATGACTCTACCTTATGATCCGTCGTCTAATGTCTCCAAACTTAGGCACGTAGATCTGCCGACCTGTGGTAAGTAGTAGGCCGTCTTCTATCTAAAACCTTCTTGTCTTGCCTTTGTTGGCTAACTCGATAAGCTGTTTGGCTACTGGATCATGCTGCATGCCTTCTTTTATAGCTGATGTTTAGCTTAAAGTATATATATTTGTATGTATATCGCCTCATGTTTTACTTTTGTTTCGTGGATTTAGGATGTCAAATGTGTTGATTTATATTAATTGAAGTATTTTTATGTGTAGGAATGATCTGGGAGCAATTGGGGGCGAAATGTGAGAAATTAGAGCCAAAACAGATGAAAACATGAAAATTGGAAATTGCAGCGCCTAGCCCTTCCTGTGGCGCCAGAAACAGTAGCCTCAAATTGGCAGCGCCATGGACAGCGCCGGGCAGGGCGCCAGTGGCGTGAAACTTGTCCAAATTCGCATGGGACACAGTTATTTCGGCCCTAGACCTACCCAACACGTATAAAAGCAAGACTAGAATTATTTGTGAAGGGGAGACGCCACTATTGAGGGAGAATACACACAAGAAACATCGGAGATCAAGAACATCTCAGATTTCTTCATCTTTTCTTAGTATTTTCAATTATCCAACATTTATGAAATTGTTTGCTATTATCGTGAGTGGCTAAAACCCATAGTTCTGGGGTTGTGATTTAGCCATGAATATTGTTGTTTAACGTTGACTTAACCTTGATTACAATTCACTAATATATGATTGTTTCTTCAATTCTATGATTAATTGCTTAATTGTCTGGCCAGCAGTTAAGTTCTATTTACTATCTATGCTATGTTTGGGAAAGTCGTATTTAGATTAGAGAAGAATTGAAGAGAGCACGATCTTAACTCTTGGGGGGGGGGGGGGAGGATTTGTGGTTAGGATAGGAATAAACCTAGTCACTGTGCTTAACTAAATATCGTAATCTTAATGCGTTCTTAATAGATTGATTTCATAGGAATATAGGCGTTAATCTATTTTGAATAGGCGAGTACTACTTCGGGAGAAGGCTATGAGAGCAATTATCGATTAATTAGCAACCACGAGTAAATTGTATGAAAGGGAGAGTTAACTAGAACACAGTAGGATTGGTGAACCGATCACAACCCTGGAATAATTGTCTCTACTAAATACACAACAACCAATTTACTGCTTGATAATTTAGTTATAAATTAGAATTATAGTTTAGTATAATCACATTCTTGAACTTTATTTTGGCTTGACTGAATAACAATCTTGGTGATTTTTAGTGCGTAGTCGATACAAGTCTCTGTGGGTTCGACACTTGACTTATCATTTTATTACTTGTACGACCACGTATACTTGCGTGTGCGTTTGGGAGCAACAAGTTTTTGGCGCCGTTGCCGGGGACTTGAATATTGACTACTTTCGAGTTTTGCTTTTATTGTTTATTTTGTCAAGTCTAACGTTACTTGATAGTTGCTCTGATCTCAGGAACTTTGATTGAATGCGTAGGGTCAGAAGCCAGGACAGACTTCAAGGCGTTGACCCTGAACCTGAGAGAATATTTCACAGGAGGTTGAGGGAAGCAAGGGATAAAAATAATATTCAGGCACTCGTTCAATTTCCTGTGAACATGGCAGAGGAATATATGGCTGTTCAGGAGGTGGAGATGACCAGCATTGCTAATGTCACCTCCAACATTGTGAAGCCCAGAATCACTGGGCATTTCGAACTGAAATAGAGCATGATCCAGCTACTTCATGCGAATGGGCAGTTTATGGGTCTTCCACACGAGGATCCACAACAGCATATCATGAACTTCTTGGAAATTAGTGATACTTATATCTCTAACGGGGTCACTCCAGACTATGTAAGGCTCACACTTTTTCCATTATCTCTGTTGGGTGAAGCAAAGTGATGGCTGAAGGCAGAAGTTTAGAACCAGCTAATTCTATTACATCATGGAATGATTTGGCAAGGTTCTTCCTTTCAAGCAAAACTGCAAAGATCAGAAGTGAGATAGTCGCCTTCAAATAGAAGGCAGGGGAGTCTCTATACTCGGCTTGGGAGAGGTTCAAGGGGCTATTCAGAGACTGTCCTCATCACAATCAACCAAGAGAAGTATTAGCTCACACTTTCATAGAAGGCCTACATCCTGAAACAAAGATTGTGATAGATGCTGCAGCTGGAGGTCAAGTGTTGGAGAAAAGATTTGACGAGATATATGCATTATTGAACAAATTCTCCAAAAGCAATCCAGATTGGCAAGGAGAAATGGGCAAACACACGGTGCAAAAATCTGCAGGGGTTCTTGAGTTAGATGTCATCTCAGCATTATCAGTGCAGATTTCTACACTGACCAACCAAGTCAATCAGATGACCTTGGTTATTAACAAGCAACAAGCCCAGCCAGTGCAACAGGTTCAAATATTTTGTGAAGTTTGTGGAGAAGGTCACATGAGCAATCTATGCCCAGCAAATCTAGAGTCTGTATATTTTATGGGTAATGCAAAATGAGGCCAGACAAATCAGTATGGGGACACTTACAATCTAATTGGAAAAACCACCCAAACTTCTCTTGGGATGGAAACCAAGGTACTCAGAATCAATACCGGCCTCAAGCACCTCAACAACAATATAGACCACCTCAGGCTGAACAACAAGCGAGTCCAACAAGTCACCTTGAGGAAATGATAAGAAAATTGATGGCTGAACAACAAGCCCTCACTCAGAAATTGATGGCTGAACAATAAGCCCAAGCCGCAGTAATGAGAAATTTGGAGCGCCAAGTGGGACAACTTGCTAGTGCCCAAAATAACAGACCAGTTGGGGCTCTTCCTAGTGATACTGAGCCCAATCCTAAAGCTCAAGTCAATGAGGTTACCTAGAAATGGAAGAGCATTAGAAGAAGTTCCAACGAAAAAGAAGTATACAGCTAGTCCTGAAGGAGGATTAGGTCCCAAGCCAGTTGAGGAGAATGAGAAAGAGAGCAAGGGATTAGAGCCAGTAATTGTGACAAGGCCACCACCTCCGTTTCCACAACGGCTGCAGAAGCAAAAAGATGATGCTAAGTACAAGAAATTCTTAGATATTTTGAGCCAAGTGCGTGTGAATTTTCCTTTGGTGGAAATTTTGCAGGAAGTGCCTAAGTATGCGAGGTATCTTAGAGATATCGTGGCAAACAAACGAAGACATACAAAGCTCGAAACAGTTGCACTTACTGAAGAGTGCAGTGCCAGAGTTCAGAGTAAACTTCCTCTTAAGTTGAAGGATCCTGGGAGTTTCACAATTCCTTTGTCTCTTGGAAAACAAGAAGTAGGTAGAGCCTTGCGTGATTTGGGGGCTAGTATAAATTTGATGCCATCCTCTTTGTTCAAGAAACTCGGATTGGGGGTGCTTAGACCTACTACAATCACTTTACAGTTAGCAGATAGGTCACTAGTTATGCCAGAAGGAATTATTGAGGATGTGTTAATTCGAGTGGGAAAGTTTATTCTTCCTGCTGATTTTATTGTGCTTGATTACGAGGCAGATGAGGAAGTGCCCATTATTTTGGGGCGACCATTCTTAGCTACTGGTGGAGCGATTATTGATGTGAGGGCAGGGAAGTTAAAGATGAGAGTTGACGATGAGGAAGTCACTTTTAATATGTACAAGGCACTTAAGCTCCCTAAGCATTATGAGGACTTGTGCATGATTACTGTGGTAGAATCGAAGGGGATAGAGCATAGTCCTTATGTGAATTGTAGTGATCCAGATGGGATAAATGAGTTAGAGGAGGTGGTGTTTCAAGCTGAGTGTGTAAAGATGATTGAGAAAAGAGCCAGAGATGAAAGAGGAGACCCTCTAAGAGCGTGCAAAAAGCTAGACTTCATGGGAGAAAGAAGAAGAGAAAGCGCCCAGCCTGAGCAGAGTAGCAGAGTCGTGCCACGACTATAAATAAGGCACTTGTTGGGAGGCAACCCAACCTGTATTTTATTTATTTTTTATTTTTTTAGTGTCAAGTTTTGTGTTGTTTTTGTTTTGCAGAGTAGGGGAAGATTGAGTACATTGAAGCTGAGGAGCATGCTTGAGCTTAAGTGTGGGGTCGTCCCGATCCTTAATATTGAGGATCATGTCCGAGCTAGGCCCGAGAGGGCCTCAAGGAGTATTTCTCACCCTTGTTTTAATATTTTTCTCTGTTATCATGCATCGAGGACTATGCATAATATAAGTGTGGGGTGGGAAACTACTTTCTGAAGTGTAATTGTATAAAACTAATTTTTTTATTTAGTTTTTCTTGTAGAACTCGTAGTAGACATCTAGTTAAAAAAATGAAAATAGAAAGAAAAGAAAGTTAGAAAAAGCTCAGACTTTTCCCGACGATGGATCTTTTGGACAATTTTCTTGAGCGATGAAGTCCGATTAAAAATACAAAAAAGATTTTTTTTAGGATAGTTAGGTAGTATTCCTTGGTTTTTCTTTGGACGCCGGTTCTTTTCCAAGGATGTAGCTTGAACCAGGTACTTTATTTTTTTTAGGAGTAGTTAGGAAGAAACTGAGTTGCTCTGAGATGCTCATTGACATGGTTGATGCTGGCACATTGGGCTATGACATACATTCTATCTTCCCGTGTATTTGGTTTGAATTGTGACGTCTAAGTAAAATAAATAGCCTTTTTTGTGACGTCTTTTCTCAGTTGTTTGACTTGTATGCCATATAGTGCAATATTGCTTAATTTTCTCAATTACGTGTGCTTGCTTGACTTGAGAGTTGAACAAAACCGTTGTGACTGAGTCATGTGCAATGTGTGTGTGAGGATTTGTGATCTTCTGTGCTATCCTGTGTAGTCTAGAACTTGCCTCGTGTGTTAATTGAAGCGAAATTGTAAGTTGTGCTAATTTAGGAGATGACGTAGGCGTTTCTTGCTTGGTCATGGATGTGCTTGTCACATAAAAATAAAATTTTCCGTTGCTAGCCCCTTTAAGCGTATAGACCTTTCTTTTGGCAACCACATTACAAGCCATACCCCTATTTTGTTCTTATTTGAGATGGTTGAACCTGTACCTCCTAAGGCACTTAGTCGTTAAAAGAAGTAAGGTTAGAGATTGGGGAGTAGCTTTTGAGTGAAACCATGGAAGATCCCGTTTGTGCACTAAAAGTAGAAATCAAAAGTCACTAGCCGATGAACTTTAATGTATGGAGTGTGTGAAGAAAGAGAAAAAAATTGCAAGAAAAGAAAAAATTGATAGTGAAAGCATGTAGAAAAATACACACCTCCAATTCTTAATAATTTGTGCTAGTAGGAGTATAGAAGTGCTTAATTGAAAAGAAAAAAGGGCTATGTTGTATATGGGTTGTGGCAAGTGAATTGGTTGAGAAGAATATGTGGCTTGAATTGTGAATGTAGTGTATTAAAGTTCTTAGGAGGGTCAGTCACTATTTCTAAATGTATCATACCCGTCCCTTGGCCTACATTATAACCTTAAAGTCCTAATTGATCCTAGATTTAGCTAGCTTAAATTAGTAGAGATATACACTACGGGCAAGCTTATGGTACGACCACGGGATGCATATGAACTCTTTGTGAGAGTGAGCAAATTTTGTTCAAATGTGTGATGGCCTTAATCTATATTCAAAAGCATATTTGAATGGGTGGACTAATCTATATTCACTCTTTTGTTTGTTGGTGAGGGCACATGATCTCATGAATGATTGGTAATGTTGTAAACTTTCTTGTTGGGTGAGTGCGTGAATTGAGGGTGCTTAGTGGTTACAAGTCGGCTGTTGAGGTTGGGTGGTGACAAATAGGTTGTTGGAATTAATTGAATTGAAATGTTATACTTGGGCATGCTTAAACGGGAAGAATGTGAAATTTTGTATGTTCATGCTTGTGTGCCGGTATTGATCATAGTCAAGGGTAGAGTGTGTGGTTAAAAGTTGAAGTGCTCCTCCGTAGTTGAGACATGTACGTAGTTGGGGTTTATTTGATAGTCTCATTGCTCGAGGACGAGCAAGAGTCTAAGTGTGGGGTGTTGATGTTTAACTTAAAGTATATATATTTGTATGTATATGCCTCATGTTTTACTTTTGTTTCGTGGATTTAGGATGTCAAATGTGTTGATTTATATTAATTTGAGGTGTTTTTATGTGTAGGAATGATCCGGGAGCAAGTAGGGGCGAAATTAGAGCCAAAACAGACGAAAACATGAAAATTGGAAATTGCAGCGCCACAGGCAGCGCCTAGCCCTACCTGTGGCGCCAGAAATAGTAGCCTCAAATTGGCAGCGCCATGGACAGCGCCTGGCACCGGGCAGGGCGTCAGTGACGTGAAACTTGTCCAAATTCGCCCGAGACACGGTCATTTCGGCCCTAGACCTACCCAACACGTATAAAAGCAAGACTAAAATTATTTGTGAAGGGGAGACGCCACTTTTGAGGGAGAATACACACAAGAAACATCGAAGAGCAAGAATATCTCAGATTTCTTCATCTTTTCTTAGTATTTTCAATTATCCAACATTTATGAAATTGTTTGCTATTATCATGAGTGACTAAAACCCATAGTTCTGGGGTTGTGATTTAGCCATGAATATTGTTGTTTAACATTGACTTAACCTTGATTACAATCCACTAATATATGGTTGTTTCTTCAATTCTGTGATTAATTGCTTAATTGTCTGGCCGGCAGTTAGGTTCTATTTACTATCTATGTTATGCTTGGGAAAGCCGTGTTTAGATTAGAGAAGAATTGAAGAGAGCACGATCTTAACTCTTAGGGGGGCAGATTTGTGGTTAGGATAGGAATATACCTAGTCACCGTGCTTAATTAAATATCGTAATCTTAATGCATTCTTAATAGATTGATTTTATAGGAATATAGGCGTTAATCTATTTTGAATAGGCGAGTAGTACTTCGGGAGAAGGCTATTGAGCAATTATCGATTAATTAGCAACCATGAGTGAATTGTATGAAAGGGAGAGTTAACTAGAACACAGTAGGATTGGTGAATCGATCACAACCCTGGAATAATTGTCTCTACTGAATACACAACAACCAATTTACTGCTTGATAATTTAGTTATAAATTAGAATTATAGTTTAGTAAAATCACTATTCTTGAACTTTATTTTGGCTTGACTGAATAACAATCTTGGTGATTTTAGTGGGTAGTCGATACAAGTCTCTGTGGGTTCGACACTTGACTTATCATTTTATTACTTGTACGACCACGTATACTTGTGTGTGCGTTTGGGAGAAACAATAGCCTCCCGAATGTCCCATCTTGCTGAAGTGATTGCAGCAAGCTCGGCTTTCTGGCTCAAGGCATCGGCTACAACATTACCTTTGTCCGGCTTATACTCCAGCGCATAATCAAACTCGGCCAAGAAATCCTGCCACCTAGCCTGTGAGCTTCTTCTGCGTCTGAAAGTAGCTAGTAGCCACATTGTCGGTCTTGACCACGAACCTCGAACCGAGCAGATAATGTCGCCGTGTACGAAGGCAATATACAATGGCAGTCATTTCCTTCTCTTGCACCGTGTAACACCGCTCCGTCTCATTTAACGTGCGGCTCTCAAATGCTATGGGATGCTTATCCTGCATCAGGACACCCCCAATGGCAAAGTCTGAGGCATCTATGTGCACCTTAAATGTCTTGGCAAAGTCAGGTAACGCCAAGACTGGCTCCTCTATTACAGCTGCCTTAAGGCCTTCAAATGCCTTTTGACAATGCTCCGTCCAAACCCATGGCTTGTTCTTCTTTAGCAACACAGTCAATGGTGCGGCCTTGGCTGAGTAGCCACTAATGAACTGATGACAGTAGTTAACAAAGCCAAGGAAGGATCTCAACTCAGTTACCTTTGTAGGTGCTTCCCCCTCCTGGATAGCACGTACCTTAGCCTCGTCCTTGTGTAGCTCTCTATTGCTAATGACATGGCCCAAGAAGTGCACCTTTGATTGTGCAAACTCAAATTTCTCCCTCTTGATGTATAGCTCGTTCTCCCGCAAAACTTGGAAAACCTTCCTTAAGTGCTCCATGTGCTCCTCCAAGGTGTCTGTCACACCTCTTTTTTGTCCAACCAACCCTATTTTGAGGTTGAGTTAGAAGAGTTTTTCCAATTGAAGTGACGTTTTAAAAAGGGATTATTTATTATTTAGAGTCGCGACTTGGAATTGAGTTTTGGTGTTCCAAGTCACCTTTTGTTTGAATCCCCTTTCAAAAGGAAGGTTTGACTCTTATTTATGGTCTACAAAAACAGAAGACTGAGTAAGGAATTTTGTTGGCCGAGGGGAAGGTGTAAGGCACCCCTCGAGTCCCCTGGTTCTAGCAAGGTCGCTTTATTGACTAATGTAAGGCTTAAGTCGATTTTTAGCTATTCTTGTATTTTATTGATTATGGCTTATTTATTACCGCTTAATTAATTATTATATTTTTATTAATTGTATTCACCAAGATGCGGAACGCACGCGAGGTACTTTGAAATTAAGTGTTAAACTAAGATACGGAATGTACACATGGTTATAACACAATTATTTCAAATCTAAAGGCATCGAGACGCGGAATGCGCACATGACCCTTTTATTACTTAAGCATATCAATCCAAGGTTCGGGTATGAACACATGGGCTAATAGCGTATTAAAATATTTAATTATTTTATCTCTTTTAGATCCGAGATATTTATTTATGTGCTTTTTCTTTTACTTATCGCAATGAGTCTTGAGTTAATTCGTAATTCATCTCGCACCCTCACAATTATTTATTATCTCTCTAATTATTTATTTCTCACAAAGGTTTTAGAATCAATATGCATCCCGCATCGCTCCCTCAGTTTTCATTATGTGTAAAAGATATACTAGACTTAACATAAATCTTTAAACATGGCATTGATTTTGATAAATAATTAAAAGCCAACTTATTAATGTTAGATGCAAGTAATATATCAAATGAATATGCTCTGGAATTAAACAACTAAAAAAATTATTTTTAACCTTTAACTTAAACAATTTACCAATTGTAATTATAAAATAAAACAAATAATGATAAAAATTATTCTCCAGCTTGT